AGCCCCGGCGGCACACGTGTGGGTGTTCCTAGCGCGTGCAACGCACGCGCTAGGGTTTCTGCGAGCCGAGTCGATCCGGCTGACCCGACCCGACTCCGGAACCGACTCGGGTTTGACTCGTTGACTGGGTGACCCGACCCGAGTTGACCGTTGATCGGTCGAACCGGTCTGCGGTTGGACCGGTTGGCGGTTAGGCCCTTTTAGGACGGATTACACGCCAGTGCGTGCGCTTCACGCGCTACGCATTCAGGAGGCGCGTGAGGGCGCGTCCGGGCTCCGTTTAGAGCGTGTAAGGTACCGACGTGCTCGTATTAAGATTATCTACATTGTCGTATATTTATTTTACATGTTTGATACTTTTAAGGATATGAAAATACATACAGAACCCTATATATGCGTATTTTTAGGTTATATTTGCGTATTTTCCTGTATTTCTCTATGGTTTCGGAAACACATATTAAAGCTTACATGTACACGACCACATAAAGAATGTGTAGAGCATGATTCATTGATAGTATGTATAAGGTTTAACATATATCAATGATTACAACGATGTAATTAGCATAGTGTGTAATTTTAGTGACATTGCCCATGTCTTCAAGTCTAGAATTACATGTATATGATGAACGTGATACATAAAGCTTATATCCTTGGTATGAGAGAGTTTCAAGGATTCAATTGGGTAGTGACCGCCAAAGTGGCACACTTGATTGGGTTTGAGAAATATCAGTCTCGTATTGTTAAGGATGTCTCTTGTTCTAATGTGCTGTCATACTCCCAAAGGAAGTGATTATGTATTGGTTCATGGAGGGATACATGTATAGTATATGCTTGAGGAATGACTAATCCTAGTGGTTCATACACCCAAAGGTGGTAAATTCATAAAAGATTAGAATATATTCTCATGGCCGTTGTCATGTAGAGGGTATATAACTGCATGTCATGTATTATGTCCAAAGGTGATTATATGATGGTGTATGTAACTCTCAAGATAGTACTCACATAATGCTGATTATAAACATTGCTTATTTTCCCAGTCACCTACTCTCTAAACGGCAACTCCATTAGTATTGAGGTTCTTACTGGTTCAAATTTTAAGAAATGGAAAGAGGATTTTCTATTTGGTATGGAGCTGACAGGTATTCATATTGCTCTTACTGAGAATAAGCCAGCAGACGTCACTGTTGATAGTATGAATATAGAAAAGGTAGACCGTGCTACTTGGGAAAAGAGCAATCGGATTTGTTTGTTATTCATGAAGTGATCCATTCAGGACCACTTGAAGAGTGATTTGCCAGTTGACTGTACTGCTAAAGAAATGATGGATACCTTGCAAGCAAGGAATCGTGTCTCGTCTAATGCTGAGAGTGAGACTTATATGCATGTACTCAGCAATATGAGGTATGATGGTTCTGGTGGGGCTAGGGATTACATTCTTAGGATGGTAGACCTGCAGACAAAACTGAAGGCTCATAATATTGTCCTTTCTGATGCCTACATTGTGCATCAAGCCCTGAACACCCTTCCTACTGAGTTTGGAATTATAAAAATCAATTATAATTCCCAAAATGAAACTTGGTCAATCAATGACCTAATAGTTAGGGTGGTGGCAGAGGAAGAGAAACTAAAGAAAGATAAAGGAAATCTTTCTTTTTATGCCTCTAGTTCCAGCAGCAAGAGGAGTAAGAAGATAAAAAATCATACTTATAAAGGAACTCCTAAAACCACTAGTCATTCTGACCATCTGGGTCCTAAGATAGCATCCTTGAAAAATGATGGTGTTCATTGCTACTTTTGTAGAAAGAAGGGTCACATGAAGAAAGACTGTAATAGATATAAAACTTGGTTGTCCAAGCGTAAGCATTCAAGGATTCACAAACAGAAGGAAGCCAAATCAGGATAAATCAAAGCTCACGGTAGGAAACAACAAGAAAGTCGACGTCGAATTCGTGGGAGATGTCATTTTAATTCTGGATTCTGGTTTTAATATGATGTTAAGAAACACCTTTTATGTACCTTCCTTCAGACGAAACTTAGTTTACGTATCTTGTTTGGATGTGTGTGGCTACTCTTTTGAAATAAAAAACAACGTTGTTTCTATGTTCTTTAATTCAAATAAGGTTAGGTGTTGCAATATATCAAATGGTTTGTATAGAAAAGTCTGAGTCTCTTAACAAGTTCAAGATTTTTCTGACTGAAGTCGAGAAACAGTTGGGAAAAGTCATAAAGGTTGTTAGGTCTGATCGGGGTGGTGAGTATTATGGCAGACATGGCGATGCTGGACAGCTTAAAGGGCCATTTGCCAAATACTTGAAGGATTCTGGGATAGTGGCTCAGTTCACTATGCCCGGGAGTCCTAAACAGAATGGTGTGGCCGAAAGGCGGAATCGCACCCTTATGGACATGATAAAGAGTATGATTAGTAGGACAAACTTACCTAGTTTTTTATGGAGTGAAGCTTTGAAAACAGCTTTCTACATTCTAAACCGTGTTCCTACCAAGGCTGTTCCATTGACTCCTTTTGAGTTATGGATTGGACGTAAACCTAGCTTGAATCATCTTAAAGTCTGGGGGTGTCCTGCAGAAGTAAGGTTATACAATCCAACATTTAGCAAGTTGGAATCTAGAATCACTCAATGTTACTTCGTATCTTACCTAGATCATTCGAAGGGATATCGGTTTTACAGTCCCCATGGAGCACAAGAATTGTGGAATCACAGACAGCGAAGTTTCTAGAATTTGATGTGGCCGAAGAATGTAGTTGCTCTCAGATTATTGAGGATAACGATATGGTAGGTACTAGTGTGTCTTTCTCTCTATCTGTACAGATAATAATGGAGACCCCTACACCACGGACTCAACCTGTTGTGGTCCAGGATTCTGTTATTGAAACACCTCCTGATGAAGTACTTCAAGCCCCTCAGGTGCAGGATGAAGTTGTAATAGCTCAACTAAGGAGATCTATCAGGTAGAGACGATCCGCTATACCACCAGATTATATGGTCTATCTAGGAGAGCATGACTGCGATATAGGCTGCGTGGTTGATCCAGTAACTCATTCATATGCTGTTTCTTGTTCTCAATTAGATATGTGGGTGGATGCAATGAAAGATGAGATACAATCTATGAAACATAATGATGTTTGGGAGCTTATTGAATTGCCTAAAAGTTACCAGCCTGTTGGCTGCAAATGGATGTACAAAACCAAAAGGGACTTCAAAGGAAAGATTGAGAAGTTCAAAGCCAGACTGGTAGCCAAGAGTTTCACTCAGAAAGAAGGAGTAGACTATGAGGTAACTTTTTCTCCAGTCTCTTCTAAAGATTCTTTCAGAGTGATCATGGCATTAGTAGCTCATTTTGACATGGAGTTACACTAGATGGATGTTAAGACTGCCTTTCTAAATGGAGACCTTGATGAAGAAGTCTATATGGTGCAACCCGAAAGTTTTACAACTGATGAATAAGGTGAGCTTGTGTATAGATTGAAAAAGTTTATTTATGGCCTTAAGCAAGCTTCTAGATAATGGTACTTGAAGTTTCATAGTGTTGTCACTTCATTCGATTTTATTGAAACAAGTTGGATTAGTGTATATACAGCAATGTTAGTGCGACGAAATTTATTTTCTCATACTCTATGTCGACGATATCTTACTTGCGAGTAGTGATATTGGTTTACTATATGAGACAAAGCGATTGTTGTCGAAGAATTTTGACATGAAGGACCTTGATGAGGCGTCTTTTGTCCTAGGCATTGAGATCCATAGGGATCGTTCTCGCCGAGTATTGGGTTTGTCTCAGAGGGCATATATTGATCGTATTTTATAAAGATTCAGTATGCAGCACTGCAAGCCAGGAATTGCTCCTGTCGTAAAATGTGATAAACTGAGTCTGTCACAGTGTCCTCATATAGATGTTGAGAAAACCTAAATGAAAGATATACCTTATGCTAGTGCACTTGGAAGTATCATGTATGCTCAAGTTTGCACTGGACCAGACATTGCTTTTGCAATAGGACTTCTAGGCAGATATCAGTCAAATCCAGGACATGATCACTGGGTTGCTGCCAAGAAGGTTTTGAGGTAATTAAAGAGGACAAAAGACTATATGCTGCTCTACAGACATGTTCAGGACCTACAACTGGTAGGGTATTCGGATTCAGACTTTGTTGGCTATCAGGATGAAAAGAATTCGACAACGGGTTACGTCTTTAAGTTAGCAGGAGGTGCAGTATCATGAAAAAGTGAAAACAGAAATCAATGCAATCCTCTACCATGCAAGCGGAGTTTGTAGCATGCTTTTCGGCCGCTACTCAGGCAATTTGGCTTCGGAACCTCATTAGGGAGTTGACCGTTTTTGATTTTGTGGATAGGCCCATACAGTTGTATTGTGACAATAACTCTGCAGTATTGTTTGTTAATAACAACAGATGTCTCAAGGGGTCTAAGTATATGGAGGTCAAGTACTTGACTATAAAGGAAAAAGTTAGGGATGGTGATATTACAGTAGAGCATATTTTCACAGATGATATGGTAGCAGATCCACTAACTAAAGACCTTCGCCCTTGTATATATAAACAACATGTCGTTAACATGGGCTTAGGAGTATCATGGGATGATGTTATTTAGTGGGAGCTGCTTTTATCTTTGCTCTAATAAAGTTTACATCTGTGTTTTTGTTACATTTAGTAACATTTTGGATGTGTATCAACTCATTTGCATTCAATAAGGTGTTTTTGAATGCATTGTTGTCATGCCAAATACACATATAAGGTGAAAATCTTAAGGTACTGTGTAAATCTCGAGTAAAGGCTATGGGCATTTAGTTATTAGCCTTAAGGATATGTCTTATTACACATAAAGTAATGTTAACAATAAGGATAAGACATATATAGGTTCATTGGAACCATAAAGATAATCTCTAGTGACACATCAGTTTTTTTGTGACATTTAAGGAGAGAGAATGTGGACTAACAAAGGGGATAACACATAAGGTATAACTCTTTATGAGGTGTTATCCGTTTGCTGCATAACCATATCGAATCCATATCAGTAAAGTCAAAGGCACTTGTAACCATGGAAGGCTCTACGTTTGATGTTCATGCAGTTACCACCATGATTCGATGTTTGAGACTTTATGGGATCGGATTGACTATTAAGAATAATCCCTAGACCAATATAAAGGTGCACACATACCGTACGATTTCAATTAATATAGTCCAAATGGGAGAATGTAAGAGTTTTCGTGTATGTGGGCTACATTAATTGAGATTGTAATTAACCGTTTACGGGCTTAGTCTAATAAGGTTGGATATAAGAATTTTAAATCAGTCTGATATGGGTCTGGCTTGTGTGGGCCGAGTTGAGCCCGGCCCGTTGTGAGAGGGCTTGGCCGGAAACTCTATAAATAGAGCTGGAAGTCCCTCCCCTATCCCAACTCTCTCTTAAACACTCTCAAACCTCGCATACAGTACTTGTGAGGGTTGAGGCGGTCTCATAGCGGCAGGGACTCTGGGGGTTATAGGGGAGAAGAGCTCTGGCACCTGTTCGTCGTCATTTCCGCATCCAGAGGCGATGGATTCCAAAACATGTGTACAAATCCCGTCTATCCTTTTACTGTACCATCTATTTCTTGCTTTGGTGATCCTAGGGCGCTCAGCCGCGCCTCACGGACGGCTTACATAAAGTTGACCATGTCTCCTCCATGTTAGCATTTCATCAAGGAATTGATCAATTATGGCCAAAGGAACCAATTACAACACAATGAAATCTTAGTACATCGGATAATTGAAATTAAAGTTTTGTGACTCTATTGCATGCTGAAATTCGTTAATCAAGACTAGCATTCACCCCTAAATGTTTTGGCAATATTATATTGGATATCTACTATTTATGTATAGGTTTCGCTCTTACTTGAACATCCAATTACCAAATCATTGGATATACTAAGTTTTAGCAAAAATTCTTAGTATTTTTGTCCTTGCTCCGGCAAAACTCCCTTAAAAAGCCCCCCAACTTTAGGTTCAATATTGTCCCAAACTTTGTTTTTTGTCCGAAAAAATTTCAAACTTTAACTCTAATCCCAATTTGCCTAAACGTCTAAAAATCATCATCGATTTCTTCAAAATTATCAATATCATGAGACTGCTATTGTTCTATACAAAGGCGAGGGTGTTGATAAATACACATGTTGTGATAATATTCCCTTAAATTCAGTAACAATAGGAGTCTAAATGATCTGCGAGATTATTTTGGATATCGACTATTTGTGTACAGGTTTCGCTTTCACTAATAGTTTGATACTTTTTTTGAATTTTTTATTTGTTCTTTTCTTCTCTTTCCTGCTTTTCATTTTCTTTTCATTTTCTGTTGCTTCCCTTTCTCTCTTTTTTCGTTTTCCCTTTTTCCCTCGTCCTTCTAGTGAATTCACCTGCTTCCCCAACGGATGCACCAAGAGGCTATTGACTCCGCCCTTCTTGTAAACCCTAATTGTTTTCAAGTGCACAAAGGGATTAGTGTCGAAGATGCACACTGAGCCGTCCATCGAAGCAAGGAGGAGATCGTGCGGGAATGAGAGGTGCGGAGGGGTGTAGAAGCATAGGGCGGTGACCGTAGTAGAATGGTGGTGGAGGGAGCCGAGGGAGGAGGCCGTCGTTAGGTTATAGAGGTGGACAGTGGCATCGCCGGTGCTGGAGGCTGCGACGGGGTTGCCAGCCGCGACCGACGAGATTGGAGAGAGGTAGGAGAGGTAGTAGAAGAGTTTGGTTAGGGCTAGGGTATGGCCATGGGGAGAATGCTTGAGGGGCTTGAGCTTGGTGCCCCAAATGAACTTCTCATACGAGCCCGCAATTAAATTCATGACAGCACGATTCGCGGCCCGTAGAGACTGGAAATATCGGAGAGATATGTGTAGAGATGGTGAATTTCCGATCCTCTTTGATGTTGAAGGCAGTGGCGACGATATTATGGTTTTAGGCCGTCGAATGACGGCGGTGTGATTAGGGCGTCCCTCGCCCGAGGCCGGCAACAAATTATCTTAGAGAAATCCCTAATTATTTCTATCACTTATCTTTCACCCAAAGTCATTTGAGTTTCTCATCAAACGGGCATCACCAAACGCCAGAAGTCAAGAACTTACCGTCGGCAAATGATATTTCATCTGAAACAATGCTTTTCCCTTATTTCAAGTCTAACATAGGTCTGTCCCTTCCCTATTGTTCACGTGAGCAGATACCAAAGTGATATCCCTTGAATCTGGGGGGAAGAACAGCATTGGTGCCAAAACTTGTGTACGGAGGCCACTTTGGTGCCAAAACTTTCAATCGGATCACTTAAGTGCTAAAAGTTGTGAAAAACGATCACTTAAGTGCCACTTCGCCAGAAATCTGACGTGGCATTTTTTTATTAATTTCTCAAGCCGATGTGGCTCGCCGGAGGCCGATGTGGCTCGCCGGAGGGCCTGACATGGCATTTCTTTTCTTTTTTTTTTCCTTTCTTTTCCTTTTTTTTTTCTTTTCTTTCTTTTCTTTTTTTTTTTCTTTTCTTTCTTCTTATTTCCAATGGCCGGCGTCCGGCCACCGCCATGGCCGGCCTCGCGGGCCTCGCCTTCCTCCGGGCGAGGCCCGGCGAGGCCGCCGTGGCCTCAGCGAGGGCCGGCCTCGCCCGGAGGAAGGCGACGCCCGGCGAGGCCGGCCATGGCCGGTGGCCGGACGCCGGCCATCGGAAATAAGAAGAAAGAAAAGAAAAAAAAAAGAAAATCAGAAAAAAATATTTAAAAATTTGAATTATACACATGGAAATGCCACGTGTCATTAAAATTTAAATATAAAAGCCACGTATTAAATTTGATCGGAATTTCTCGCCGTTGGCACTTAAGTGATCGTTTTTTCTCCGATTTGGCACTTAAGTGATCGCCGGCGTAAACTTTTGACACTTAAGTGATCCAAATGAAAGTTTTGGCACCAAAGTGGTCTCCGTACACAAGTTTTGGCACCAATGCTGTTCTTCCCCCCTTGAATCTGCTGGTCCCTCCGTCAAAGATCAACATTCGAATATTTCAGTGCACTCCTCGAAGGAAAAGAAAAGGTTATATGCAGATTTCTCATCTCAGCTCACCTAATCTGATCCCCCTTCACGAAATTCTTGCATGTTGCATTGTGCAAGATCAAACCTAGAAAAGCAGAAGCAGAATAAGAAAAGGAAAGGTAAACCTAGGATCCCCCAAATTGCACCAAATGTTTCAAACAGAAATGGGCCATCACATCAGACTTAATATTTCAATTCTAAAAATGAAAACCGGATCTTGTTTTATTGTCAAATTCCTGAAATGGTTGACATCGATTATTCTCAAACATGATCTCACGCGTTGCCCAAAACGGGCTTGAACGAAGTGAGACGCCTGACATGCTCCCACGGCTTGTCAAAAACGGCGGCCTCGAAGTTCTTGGTCTCGGCCCCGTCCTTGACCTGGATGACGAGCCTGTAGTTCGTCCCTGACACGGTCTGCGTCTCGCCCCTCACCACCTTCTCCAGCACCAGCCCCGTCTTGGCCTCGTCATTGTGCGTCTTGACGGCGAACTTAGCGATCTCCCCCACGTACGGGTCGCTCAGGTCCTTTATCGGGCTCCAGCCCCCGACCAGCTCCCTGCGGGCGGCCCTGGCGGCTGAGACTTGGAGGAGGAGGAGGACGGCGGCAACGGCGAGGATGAGGAGACGCATTTTCGGAGGCTTTCGGCTTCGGTTTTGGTTTTGGTAACCGTTTTCTCGGGTCTCCTCTTATCTTGATGTTTTCCATGGGTGGTGGGTACGTGTATTTATAGGCCTTGGAATTGAGAGAATTACGGACACTTGTCATGTGATTTGGGAAAAAATATATGTTTTAGGGTCAACTTAGAACATAAGGCAAGTTGATTATTTCATGGATTATGGAAATTAATTCTTGATATGTAACAGAAGCCACGGTGACCTTATTAAGGATGTGAGTAATACGGGAGTTTCGGATTCCACTAAATACAAGCCAAGGGACATTTCATCGTACAACATGAGTCCATAGGTCATTTCCATAAGTTGAAGAATAAAAGCTCTTTCTATTAGCTGAACTGTGGTTTCCTAATTTAAGTTGATTTTCTAATCTGATTTTTCCTAATTTAAAGTTTCTTAATGTGAAGTTATTTATAGCGTTTCCTAATTTAGTGTCTTAGTCCTTCAATAAATATGGATCGTGCTAGCATGACCACCCTGTCAGTTTTAGAAATGACGGAGCAATAGTTGCCACAAGTTTTGCAACTGAAAGACTGGAAACCAACCAAATCAATCACTCTTTATTTTCATACCTGTTTTTTTAGAATAGTTTCGTTCTCATCCGTTTCTATCATTCCATCTCCTCAAAAATAACTATGACCATTAAACCCACCTTTTTGTCTAATAGTTCCACCAATAGATATATTTTCCGTGAAAAAAAATTAAAGTCTATTAACCTACAAAATTAGACTTATTTAGAAAGTACCAATACATTATCGGTGTAATTTATTCTCTACATAAGCGGTTCTCAAATCATGATACATAATTATTATTTGCGTTAGAAAATTATTCTTACGTAAGTTAAAGAATGCTTTATAAAATGAAAAAAAAAAACTTTTGTAAGAGGGAAAATATACTATGTTACCTGTGAACAGTATAAGTTCTTCAATTTATTCGTGTAATGCCGACTAGTCAATTTACTTGTGTGTTTTACGTTAAAATTACGACTTACATTCACACACACACACATATATATGTATAGTCAATTCGTGCGTGCTAGTGTGGCTTTGAAATGGACCATGCTAGTTTAAGATGGTAAAGGAGTTACATATCATCTCAATATTGCGACTCCCCGAGGCCGGCAACCTCCGCTGGGCCTCGTCGCATTGGTGACAAAATTAGGGTTTTATGTTTTCGAACGACGACTATGTGATATGGGCATCCCTCGCTTGAGGCCGATGACCTCCGCTGGTTATCGATGAGGCTCGACAGAGGGAAAAAGGAAAAAATAAAAAAATAAAAGAAGAGAAAAGGAAAAAAAAGGAAAAAAAGGAAAAGAAGGAAAAGAGAAGAAAAGAAAAAAAGAAAGAAAAATACATCGAAAATAGTTAAAATATTAAAAATTATTCACGTCAATGTTGGAGATGCCATGTGGATAGCTGTGGTGTCCATGTTAGTGATTTCTGAGTAAAATAGGCTGAATGGCCTTAATTAGCAAAACGTGAAGATCTTTAGGACTCTATTGATAAAATTTAAGTTTTAAAGACTAACTTGGCGAAAGTGCAATAGGTTTAGGACTTTTTGAACAATTTTCCGTAAAAAATTCTATCAAAATATCTCTAACACAATCTCTAACATAGGAAATTATGTTAGAGAAATCCCTAATAATCTCTAACATGCCCTCAAATTCAAGGTAATTAAGTCAGCTTCAGTTTGAAATCAAGTATATCAGTGTCCATCGGCTAAGACTTGGAGGATGAGGCGGCGTCCACAGTTGTTTATGGCGAAACTTCTAAATCTAGTTGGTTTGATAGCGATGAATGTAGTGGTGGTGTAACAACACGCGAAATGTCTTCCATATCTAGCTGGTTTGAGGGTGGCAAGCCTAGTGGTGGTGTAAAGACAAACGAAACAGCGAGAATTGGAGGGGGCAAGTGGCCAATGTGGCTGCTTGCGAAATAGTAAATTAGCAACACATCAAGCGTCCTACACGGCTAGCTTGGGAAAATTGTTATTGGGCAATGCTGCGCGGCAGGCATCGAAAGCCACCTCCGTGAAAAATAATAAATGCTCGACTAGGTGATGTGCAGTTGTTGCTGTTGGCATCGAAACATAGCCATCATGGAATTAACTCGCCTAAGCACTTCCTCGTATGAGAGTTTTTCGTATGGAAAGAACACTGTTGAGCGACAAATTATTAAAAAAAAATCCCTAATTATCCCTTACACTTGTCTTTCACCCAAAGTCATCTGAGTTTTCATCAAACGGGCATCACCAAACGCCAGAAGTCAAGAACTTACCTTCAACAAATAATATTTCATCTGATACAATGCTTTTCCCTTATTTCAAGTCTAACATAGGTCTGTCCCTTCCCTATAGTTCACGTGAGCAGATACCAAAGTGATATCCATTAAATTTACTGGTCCCTTCGTCAAAGATCAACATTCGAATATTTCAATGCACTCCTCGAAGAAAAAGAAAAGGTTATATGCAAATTTCTCATCTCAGCTCACTTAATCTGATCCACCTTCACGAAATTCTTGCATGTTGCATTAAGCTAGATCAGACCTTTAAAAGCAAAAGCAGAACAAGAAAAGGAAAGGTAAACTTAGGCTCCCTCAAATTGCACCAAATGTTTCAAATAGAAATGGGCCATCAGATCAGACTAACAATTTCAATTCCAAATATGAAAACCAGATCTTGTTTTATTCTCAAATTACTAAAAGGGTTGACAACACGACCTCACACGTTGCCCTGAACGGGCTCGAACGACGTGAGACTCCTGACATGCTCCCACGGCTTGTCAAAAACGACGGCCTCAAAGCTCTTGGTATCAGCCCCGTCCTTGACCTCGATGACGAGCCTGTAGTTCGTCCCCGACACGACCTGCGTCTCGCCCTTCACCACCTTCTCCAGCACCAGCCCTGTCTTGGCCTCGTCGTTGTGCGTCTTAACCGCGAAGTCAGCAATCTCCCCCACGTAAGGGTCGCTCAGGTCATTTATTGGGTTCCAGCCCCCATCCAGCGCCGCCCTGCGGGCAGCCTGGGTGGCCGAAACTTGGAGGAGGAGGAGGACGGCGGTAGCGGTGAGGATGAAAAGTCTCATTTTCGGAAGATTTGG